ATTTACAGTTATAGTCATCCTCCCCCTGGATCACAGGTATGAAAAAGAAAAAAAACACACTGTAAAAAAAAAAAGGAGCAAGGTGCCCTGGAGCATTTAACATATAGTTGTAGGTAACGGTGAGTGTAGGTAGCATCTGAACCATGAGATGAAAGATGAGCAGGGGTGCGCCAGCCTGAGACAAAGGAAAAGCCACCCCAGTTACAAAGGTGGACATTCACGGCTTGTTCCACTACCATGAGTGTCCATGAAGTGTCTGGCAGTATTCCAGGGGCTGGGGATTCCACAACCAAGACACATAAGGACCCTACTCTCAAGACACCTTCACTCTAAAAAGGTGAGGGGAGACAAATAAACAAGTAAATGAATAATAACTGCTGTAAGTGATTCCTACCACAAATAAAATAAATTAAAGCAGGTTTATGTGCAAGAAACTGAATAATTTGTGCCATTGGATACAGCTTGAGGCTGTAATGGTTATACTAATCTGAAATGAGAAAAGGATTCAACCATGCAAAGATCCTGGTCTGAGAAAGAATTATGCTCAGGGGACTGTTGTGATTTGATTTTTAGAAAAGATTATCATCCCCAGTGTAGGGTGGATAGACTGTAGGTCAAGAAAGGAAGCAGAAACCTGCTGGGAGGCTACTGTTGGGGTCCAGACAAGAGACCACTGTGGTTTAGATGACGGTGGCAGCTGTGACTGAGGAGAAATGAACAGATTCAGGACCGAAGAGGCAGACCCCTGTTTGGACGCAGAGACGGAGAGTAAAATGGAGAGTAAGGATAAAGTGTTCATGGCTTGAACACACTGATCAACAGTGACGCCACCCAGTGAGACTGCGAAGGCTGAGGAAGGAACAAGTTCTGGCAGAGGAGTGGTGGAGGAAAAGCAAGAGCTCTGCTGTGGTCGAGTTTGAGAACCTGCAACACATTCAAAAAGAGAGATCGAGTAAGTAACTGGACGTAAGAATCTGGGGTTTCCTGACAGGACCAGGCTGGAGGTATACACTGGAGTATTAACAGCATACACGAGGTATTTAAACAATGGGGGCAGAAGAAAGCATCTGGGTCACACAGAAAGGAAGGCAGAGGACTGACTCCTGGTGCATTCCGCACTCAGAGCGCCACCAGAGAAATGGCAACACGTGACTAGGAGGAAGTAAGTGTCTGTGAGGCCGCAAAAAACACAAGACACAGAAACATGGCAGTTCCCATGACTCCACCCACACACAGACAGCACTCAGCCAGTCTGCTCAAAGCAGGTGTTCATATCGCTTATTTTCTGTTCTTCTATACATTTTATTAGGAGCTCTGGTAGCATAGTGGCTAAGACACTTGACTGCTAACCAGAAGGCTGGCGGTTCAAACCCACCAGACACTCCTCGGAAGGAAGGTTGGGCAATCCTACTTCCGTAGTGATACTGCCTCGGAAACCCAAGGAGGGGTCTCTATGAGTCGGGGCCGACTCGACGGCAAATAACAACAACAACATACATTTTATTTATGAACTGCACCCTTAGGAATAATTACATCGGGGCCATGCCTTTCTTAAAACTCAAATGCTCCAGCTGGACTTCTAAACCAACTCATGAACGCTTGGGGTAACATTTCCCACCACGGTACCCTGCTATTTCTCCCCCCCAAAAAAATGCCACAGGGAAGAAAAACTCAGGAGGAAGGAGGGGAAAAGAAAATTCCACTCAACCGGGTTATGCACAGAAACAACACCTCACAGGTCCTGTTGAGTCACCCAAGTGGAACCGCAGATCACCAACATAAACTCATGGCAGCCCCGCCTGTGCCGGCTTCGCAGCTCGGACGCTTACTGCCCTGTCCCTAGTCATCTCAACCTCGCCGAGTCTTGGATGCCCCGCTGTAGGGCGCCCTCATCTTCCAGAACCGCTGGGGGTACTGAGTGAGAAGCTGCACGTCCCTCTCTTAGCACAGGGCACGGCAAGTGAGATGCACGTTGGCGACCACAAGAGCAGTAACAACAGCCTAAAAGCCCAGGGCACTGGGTTCGAGTCCCAGCCCTGCCTCTGGTCTAGACCACGCCTTCTCGCCCCAAACACTGACGAAACTAGCAGGTCCCTTCGCCCGTGTGTGGACACCGAACAGGACTCCCCACTTCCCCGACAGCTTCCCTCGCTTCGTGGAGGGACTGAGCGGCACGGAGGGCTCCTCAAGGCGTCCGGAGCAAAGGCAGGAAGGAGGGTGGCCACTGACCTGCTTGAAGGTGCTGGTGAGGAAGTAGACGAGCGAGAGCCCGAAGACCAGGGCGAGCACCCATCTCTTCCTCAGCAGCCGGCGCCACACCATGGCCGCCAGGTTCACCATCCCGGCGCGGACGCGGGGGGCGGCGGCCGGGGCGTGGAGTGTGGCAGGCCCGGGGCCCGGGCGGCATGGCCCCTAGGCGCCGGGCAGTTCCATCCCCAGAAGAGAATGCCGGCCGCGCCCCCGCGGCCCACCGACTCCCGGCAGTCTCCCCGCGCCGGCGCGCGCCGCTGCACGTGACCTCGCCCCACGCCCCGCCTCCCTCCTTTGCGTCTCGCATCAACCCCACTCAGCCTCTTTATCATTGGTCCCTGCGGAGTGACGGCCTCCTATTGGCTGGAGCAGCGAGAGAGGGCGGGTAATCGTGTGCGTGCGGTCAGAGCAACCCTGCCCGCTTTCTATCTCAGGCCGCCGAAACCCTAAGAACCAAACCGGAGGCCGGAAGCACTCGGAAGTCACGTGCCGAGACGCGCGAGTGATTGGCTTGACAGAGACGTGAGTGATGCCGCTGTGATTGCTGAATTCTCTGGTCAGGTAAAAAGAGAACCGGGTTTCTTTTTTGTTGTCTGTTATTTGTTTTTTGTTTCATTTTCGGACGGTCAGTGTAATCTCCTGTCCTTGCAGTTCTAGCGCATTTTGCACTGTGAGTTGATGGCAGTAATGATAAACGCCCGCGACATTGTATCCGGCGTGCACTTGACAGCTTCCAATGCAAGTAATGCAGGAGATGTTCCCATGCCTGTCTTTGTTTAGGTGCAGTCTTGTAGTGGCTCGGGGATGCAATTTAAAACATAGCATGCCCAGAAAGTCTTGGTGTAATCCTTCATAAGGGTGAGGTGCGATTTATATAGCAAAGAGTTGAAAGGCGAAAGGCGTTTAGTTCAGTCATTCAAATGCATCCTCCGTGCAAAAAAAAAAAAAAAAAAAAAAATGTAATCCACAATTGGAAAAATTATGTATGGCCTGCTTCGAACGGAGAATCTGAAGCCCCTTGAAAAGCTAGTAGCGGAAATAGAAGCTTAGGCATTTGGTTTAGGAGGCTCTATCAGATTTGTAGGACCTATGGTGGCATAGTGGTTAAAGCACTCAGCTGCTAACCAAAAAGGTCAGCAGTTCAAACTTACCAGCCGCTCCGCAAAAGAACGGTGAGACAGCCTGCGTCCGTAAAGATTCGCAGCCTTGAAAACCCTATGAGGCAGTTCTACCATGTTCTGTAGAATCGCTATTCCTAACGGATTTAGAAGGCGATGGGTTTGGTTTGGTTTTTGGTCATATCTGTAAGGAGCTCTGGTAGTGCTGTGGTTGAAACATTCATTTGCTAACTAGAAGAATGGTTGGTTGGAACCCACCAGCCACTAAGAGGGAAAATGATGAGGCATTCTGCTTCTGTAAAGATATATAGCCTTGGAAGCCTTGTGGTACAGTTCCACTCTGTCCTATAGGTTTCACCATGAGTTGGAATCTACTTGACAGCAGTGGGTTTTTTTTTAATGGGATCCTGGATTAAGGATCAGATACCAACTTTGGTTCTGGTATCAAAAAATATTCAAGGAGCTAAACCTGTATGTAGGAGCTCTGATAGCATAGTGCCTAAGGCTTTTGACTGCTAACCAGAAGGCTGGTGGTTCAAACCCACTAGCCACTCCTCGGAAGGAAGGTTGGGCAATCTACTTCCGTAGTGATACTGCCTCGGAAACCCAAGGAGGGGTTGCTATGAGTCGGGTCTGACTCGACGGCACATAACAACAACAACAACAAACCTGTATGTGAAAAATATATGGCCTTTTTTTTTCCTTCCCTACAGTGAAAGAAGAAAGGGATAGAAATCTAGAAAAAGACAACGGGGAAACCTGCAGATGTGTTTATTGAATAAATACTTGCTGTGGGCTACTCTGTGCCAGGCAGTGTTCTAGATGAGGTACAGGGACAAGGGACAGGATCCCTGCTTTGTGGCATTTACATTCTAATGGAGTACAGATCATAAATAAGCAAGTATATAAGGAAATAACAAGGCAGGGCAATTTCATGAGGAGTCATGAAGTGAGGAGACACTGGGAGGAGGTGACATTTAACCCAAGGGAGCTAACCATGTAACATTCAGGGGGAAAGGCATTCCAGGGAGACGGAATAGCAAGTACAAAGGCCCTAAGGCTGGGAAAAGCTGGCAAGTGTGAGGAACAGAAAGGTCACTGTGACTAGAGAGGACTGAGAGAAGGGGAGAGTGTGGAAAAGTGAGGTTAGAAACATAGGTGAGGCCACATCAGGCTAACCTGTAGTCATGGATTTTAATATGAACTTGGATTTTGTCCTTTTTACAATGAGAAACCATCGGAAGTTCAACAATGTATTTTGTGTATTCCCCAATCAGGACTCCAAGTTTGACAGTAAGACATAATCATTAAGATGACTGTCCTCAAGAGCCCCACAGAAGGGCCAATGAGAGGTTAAGGGGAGATGCTGAGCGAAAGGAATGATCTGCGTATAGCTGGTTACTTACTGCGCTGCAAGACTTACGGCAGACCCCAGGCGTCACATGGCCTGTTCACCCAGCTGTTCTGTCCCATCCAGGGTCTGGAGTCTCTCGCAAGCTCCCCTGACCTGTGCAACCCTCTGGAGAGGAAGAGGAGGGGGAGATCTGCTCTCTCTGGGATCCTGTGCTCACATCCCCATCAGGAACCCCGAATGCCCACCCCAGGCATCATCAACATGGAGGTCTGAGGTCCATGTGGCTTCTCACAGTGAACCAGGTAACATGTCTTCATTAGAACTCCCACCTCTATTACCACTTTTTTAAATGTATGGAGGAGTCAGCAACTTACAAGATGGAGAATCTGAAGGCCCAGAGAGGCTACTGATTTGTCCACTGTTGCACAGCAAGTTCAGGGCAGCATCCGTCCCAAATCCATGTCTCTTGACTGCCAGTCACTGCTCACCACCTCTAGCCCCTTCTTTGCTGCCTGCTCACTCCTTTCTCCCTCACCTTTCCTTTGGGCCTCTGAGTCTCATCCTCCTCATCTGTGAAATAGGCTGATAACCCCTTCCTCATGGGATTAAATGTTAGCTTGAGGGTTGAATAGCATAAAAGACATAAATGTGGTTTTGAAAATGCCCATGAGCCCTACGGATGTAAGGCATGATTATTACTTATTTACAGTTACCCTAGCGACCTGACAGGCAATGGGAATGATTGGAAACTGGCTCACACCCTGTGTTGGCTTTCAGGTGTTAAGGAAAATGCAGAGACGCCACAGCAGCAACACGGATAACATTCCACCTGAAAGGTAGGCTCTTAGGGGAGTAACAAGATCCAATTGGAAACTGCTTTACACAGTGATGGCCGTATTCTAAACACTCAAAGAATCCTAGCTTGCTGTTATTGTGGTACTTCTCAAAGCCTGTGTGACAAGTGAGACACTTGACACTTGAGCTAGAATTGCTATTTAAACCCAAGAGAGTACAGGTTGTGACAGTCCCAGCCTCTGACCCCTACCCCAACCTCCCCAGTGCTAGCACACAGCCCAAGCAGGCAGCCAAGCTTTTCCTCCCTCACTTCTTGCTCCCAGTCCCTTGCAACACTAGGGTCAGCTCCCAAATCACAAATAGCATCTCCAGTCCCAGCATTGGGACTGAGTTTCAAATCAAGCCTGCCTGTTCTACAGGGAAGAGCCTTCGGACAACCTGTTGGCCGAAATTGCAGTTTGGTCACTTCCCAACAGTGGTGCCTTTTGCACATAGCTACAATCCTCGGTCTCAGTTTCCCCATCTATAATGGCAGGTAGTAAAACTTAGAGGTTCTCAGGAATGAATATGGACATACACAGACACAGCATGTGGCTTATTATATACCATGCTTACTAAAGCTGTTTTCTGGCCTGTGAAGACAGAATTGCTGTCTGCTGTCAAGTGAACCATGAGATCTTTGGGACACACACCACAGCAGAAAACAATAACCACTGTGTGTTTTGAGTGCATGGAATACCAGGGTGGTACAAACATGCTCAAGCTCCTAACCAAACGGTGGAAGTTTCAAGTCCACCCAGAGGGGCCTGAGAAGAAGGTCCTGGTGATTGGCTTCCAAAACGTCAGTCCTTGAAAACTCCATGGAGCACAGTTCTGCTCTGACGCCTGAGGCCCCCCACTAGTGGGATCTCCTCGACAGCAACTGGTTCTGGTCATTGGTACTGAGCTTACATTGTACCACCCTCACATTATCCTGATGAGGTCGATTGGGAGGACAGCACAGGACCAGTGTGTCATTCTGTAGTGTGTAGGGTCACTGTGAGTCAGAACCGACTCATCAGCACGTAACCACAATAACACATTTATGTATTTTATACATATGTGTCCACACATACACATAATGCTTACATGTGTTATATATATGTGTATATATAAATATATGACTTTAGTACATTTTTAGTACATTTTATTATTTAGAGCCATTTTATGGAAAAATTCTGGGCAGCAATTAGAGTTCCCATATACCCTGTCTCCCCTTGCACTGAGTTTGCTCTGTTACTAGCATCTTCACTGGTGTGGTGTATTTGTTATAATTGATGAAGCAACACTGGCACATTATTATTAATAGTCTACACCGGGGTTCCTCTTGGTTTTGTACAGCTCTATGGGTTTTGACAAGTGCATGCTGTCATGTGTCCACCATTGCAGTCATACAGAATAGTCTTACTGCCCTAAAAATGTCCTGCCCCCCACCTATTCATCCACCCCTACTCTCCTGTCTCCCTATGCCCTTGGCAACCACTGATCTATTTTCTAGCTCAGGACTACTTTTATCACCATTTTACAGGTGAGGAAAACTGAGGCTCCAAGAGGGCGAGCAAATTGCCTAAAGTCACACAGCTGGGAAGTGGCAGGGCAGAAATTCGAGCTGCAGTCCATCTGCGCATGCTAAAGTCCTTACTTTGAACCAGCCGCATTCTGGCCCCTCCTATCTAGCTGCCTGCACCGGCTCTTCTCTCCTGGCTGCCTCAAGTACCAGTCTTTAAGTGGTTAAGTTGGACACACAGCCTCTGCCCCCAAGGAGTATTCTTTCCCAGATAGTCTGAACTCTCAGCTGCATGCTGAGCAGAGGCCCAGGGAAGGGAGGCCAGCTATAAAAAGCCCTTTGGTGAGCAGAGTGTCCCCTGAGAATACCCAGCACCCCCTGAGCCCAGTGAACTCAGAGTGCTGGCAAGCTCAAGGGGGGCGGGAAGGTTTTCCAGGGCCCCAGAGGGGTGACCGGTGAGAGAGGACGTTTCCCACATGGGCCAATGTGGGCTTCTGCCAGGATCCTACCTTCTGATCAGCTTCTTGAAATGCAGAAAAAGCACAAGAGCCCTTGAGGATCATAGCCATGGTGTTAGTTGTTGTTGTCATTATTGATATTATTACTGTCCAGACCCCAAGGGAGTCAGACCATACAATTCCTGGACGTTTGGAGCCAGCAGAGACAAGCCATCAGGGGAATGAGTAGCTGTCTATAGCAAGTACCCTACCTTGTACCAAGTTTATGATAACTTACACAACAGCCCCCAGGTCAAGTTTTCAAAGCCAAGGGAACCAACTCTGTGATTTCTTTGGACTGGCATTTCCCCTACTGTCTCATGGTTGTTTTGCAAGACTATCAATAGACTTTCCATGAAAAAAATAATTCCATGGTCAAATGAGTTTGAGAGATACTGGGCTGAAACAAAGCTAGGTTTTTCAACTGCAGGCCTTGTCAGAGCCTTTAGTGTGTTCGTTCATTCATGCCTTCAAACAGTATTTATTTAGCATCTTCTATGTGCCAGGTGTATTGTGCTGGATAGTAGAGGCACAATGGGCTTTGACCTCATTAAGGAACATCCAGTGTAAAGTGGTGGTTCTCAGTATGGGACAACTTTGGAGAAATATAAATGCCTGGGCCCACATTCTAAGATTTTGACTTAATTTGTCTATAACGTGGCCTAAAGGAAACCAAACCCACTGCCATCAAGTCATTCCAACCCTATAGGACAAAGTAGAACTGCTCCAGGTTTCCGAGGCTGTAAATCTTTACGGAAGCACCCTGCCTCATCTTACTCCAGCAGAGTGGCTTGTGGGTTCAAACCACTGAGCTTCTTGGCGAGAAACTAAATGCATTAACCACTCTGCCATCAGAGCTCCTTACAATGGGACCAGGCAACTGTGTTTTTTCAAACGATCCCTTGAGCAGTTATACTGTGCAGCCAGGGCTGAGAAAGGTTGACAGGTGTAGATGGAGAGAGAAGCAGGAAAACGATTACTGTAGTCATTCCCATGCAGGTGACAGGAGGGTGTGCATTAGTTTCCCTGCCACTGTAGGAAATCACCACACACTGGGTGACTTGAAGGGAGCCTGATGACGCAGTGGGTAAAGCACTTGGCTGCTAACCCATTTTTCAGTAGAGAAAACGGAGTACAGGGTTCTTAAGGCCCCTTGAAAGGGTGAAGCTGCAGGTTCAGTAAGAGCCTCTCTATTAAGTCTTCTTCCCATTACAGTCTGCTGCCCTGCAACTGCCAGCAATGACTGAGGCTGGATCCTCTTGGGAACTGGGAGCCATTGAACTTGAAGATTGTAGAGCCCTTGAGTCCTGAGATTATTCTAGAGTCATGGAATTCTGCGCTCCCTTTTCAGTAAAGCAACAGTGGTTAAAGATGTAGACTCCAGAGTTAGTCAGCCTGAGTTTGAATTCCCCTCGAAATATCTGTAACCCACTGTTCCACTCTGGGAAGGTTACCTTATCTCTCTGTGTCTGTTTCTTTATCTGTAAAATGAGGATGTTCTATTACTATCGTTAGGGATCCCTGCGTGGGGCACATGGTTAAGAGCTTGGCCACTAACCAAAAAGTTAGAAATGAGAATGCACCCAGAGGCACCTAAGAGGAAAAGCCTGGTGATAACTTCTGAAGGGTCACGGCCATTGAAGACCCATGGAGCACAGTTCTTATTTGATACCGATGGGGTCCCCATGTCAGCATTGACTCAACATCGGCTGATTTTATATTACTATTCCCAACCCACAGGCCTGAAAAGAGGATATAATGACTTGTTAGAAAAAACATTGAAAATCATCTGACATGTAGTAAGTTTTCAATAAAGATGATGGCCCTATTGCTGTCATTGTTGATGTTATCATTCGAGTGGTGTCTGTCTTTCTGTTCACCTGACTTGCTGGGCTTTCTCTCCCCCTACCCTCAGAAACCGCAGCCAAGCGCTCAGCTCCGAGGCGAGTGTGGATGAAGGCGGCGTCTTTGAAAGTCTGAAGGCAGAAACCGCCTCTCCCCCCGCACTCTTCTCAGGCTTAACCGGCTTAACCGGCCTGCCCGCAGGCAGCATCCCCGCCAGCCCCTTCCCATCCAGCCTGGTGTTGGGGTCCTCGGCCAGCGGCGGGGACGTGTTCATCCAGATGCCAGCCTCCAGAGAGGAGGGTGGCGGCCGGGGTGAGACAGGTGCCTACCACCACCGCCAGCCCCCACACCACTTCCACCATGGCCACCGTGGGAGCTCACTGCTGCAGCACGTGGGCGGGGACCACCGCGGGCACTCGGAGGAGGGGGGCGATGAGCAGCCCGGGACGCCGGCCCCTGCTCTGTCAGAGCTGAAGGCCGTCATCTGCTGGCTCCAGAAAGGACTCCCCTTCATCCTGATCCTCCTGGCCAAAGTCTGCTTCCAGCATAAGCTGGGTGAGTGCCCGAGTGGGGACAGCCTGCGGTGTCACCTGGACCCTGTGGCTTGGAGCTGGGGAAGGCAATAGAGGCAGACACGATGCATGGTGCTTAAACACCCAAGAAACCAAACCTGTTGCCATCAGGTCATTCCGACTCGTAGCGACACTATAGGACAGAATGGAGCTGCCCCGTAGGGTTTCCAAGGCTGTTATGTAAGCAGACTGCCACATTTCTCCCACAGAGCAGCTGGTGGGTTCCAACTATGGACTGTTCAGTTAGCAACTGAGTTCTTAACCACTGTGCCACCAGTTGATCTTTTGCGTATTGCTTAAGAGATTCTTACTGCCTAATCGGTTCAGAGTTCCTGTTTGGTGTGAGAAAAATTTTGGAAATAGATGGTGGTGAAGAGTGACCAACATCGTGAATATAATTAATGCCCCCAAATTTTACACCTAAAAATGGTTAAGATGGCAAATTTTATGTTATTTTTTTTCCCCCACAGTAAAATAAAATTAAAAAAAAAAAAAGTATGGAATTCTGAGACAGTGATAGGTTTAATTCCTGACTGACTAGCTGTGTGCTTTGGGCGAATCACTTACCTTCTCTGAGTCTCTTTTATCATCTGTCAAGAAGGGGTTGTGGTAGAAATTTCCTCAGATGATTGGTATGGAGCAGCGTAGTAAATAAGAGGATCTGAAACCTCTCCTATGACTCTAGGCAGGTTATTTAACCTCTCTGTGCTTTGGTTCCATCATCTATAAAGTGGGGATTATAATGGTACATACATGAAAGCATTGCAGTGAGGTTTACATGAGTCAGTGTAGGTACCTGGCAACTAGTAAGTTCTGTGCACATGTGGATTATTACTTTTATTCTATTTACGGGAGTGCCTGAGTGGTATAAACAATTAAGGGCTTGATACTTATTGTGAAGACATAAAATACTAAGCATGGAACCTGGCACATAGTAAGTGCTCAGTAAGTATTACCTATTGCTCTCATTAGAAAACAGGACAACGATTCATCAAGTGTGTAGCCTAGTGCCAACCTGTACCTAAAATTCAATAAATGGTTGACGCTCCACTGCTACTGTTGTTATTATGATTATTGCTTTCTGTTATTGGCTCATGATGCTGCCAGGCCCAGGAAGGCTCCTGAAGGCTACTGTTTATGTCCTCAGGTAGGAAACCTCTTGGGCCTGCTGCTTGCCATAGAAAATATCTAGAGGAGACTAGACCTCTGCCCCCTCTGGTAATTTCCAGCCAGCTCCAATCACCTTGCCTTCCTTGATGCGGTGCTACTAGATGAATGCCTCCTTTTCCATTCCTAAAAATGGAAGCCACCTTTTTCCACCTTCCCTCAAATTCCAGAACACTCAGAGTGAGGTCTTATTCTTGAGTGTGCTCGTTTTCTTCTTCACTTGGTAATTTTGTTTTATTTTTTAAAGCAAAGAAGAGAGTAGAAAGAGATCGTGAGGTGATTGGGTTTTATTTTATATGTCTCCAGTGAAGATATGGGGAGAAGAAAAACCTGGAACGCACACACTATTAAAAAAGTCAAAGCAGGCCCCAGGCACCATACATGCTGCACATTGTGTCAAATCTGAGTCCTGTCTACAGGAATAAAAACTGGGATGTGAACGCCGCTGAACCCACCAGTTGTTGTCGAGTCAGTTCCAACTCCTGGTCCCCCGACATGTGCTAGTAGAGCTCTAGGGTCTTCCATGGCTGCGTTTTTGGAAGCAGGTTGCCAGACCTTTCTTCCAAGGCACCTCTTGGTGGCCTTCCCCTGGGAGCCTTTCAGTTAGCAGCTGAGCATGCTTTTTGCACCACCAAGGGACTCTGAGAAAATCACTACTCAGGGAAAATTCCAGACTTTTCAAAATTAGGGACAATTAAATGAAATACAGAGTAAAACTGAATTCTGTACCCTTTGTGCCTGGATCATCCATACCTGTCATCCCAAAATCTTTTTCTCCTTTAACTTTACACTTTAATTCCTTGTAGTATTGCAGTCTTCTTCTTTGTATGATTTTTGTTACAAACCACACACCTCAGGTTCTTTTTGAGAGTAAAATTAATATAGACACCATTTACTAATTGCTAGAGATTATGTGAGCAGCTTTGGTGGCATAGTGGTCAAAGCATTTGGCTGCTAACCCAGAGGTCAGTGGTCCAAACTCATCAGTCACTCCGAGGGAGAAAGATGAGGCAGTCTGCTTCTGTAAAGATTTACAGCCTTGGAAACCCTATGAGGCAGTTTTGCTCTGTCTTAAGAGTTGGAATCGACTCAATAGCAGTAGGTTTGTGGCTTTAGAGATTATGTGGTATGAGTATTAGCCATCCATAATGTAAGTACTGTTTTTATTCTGCCCATTTTACAGATGAGACTGGGGCTTAAAGAGTTATAGTGTCTCTCCCAAGCTCACACACAGAAAAAGTGGCAGAGCCTGGATTTGAACCCAGGTTTACAGCTCCATAGTCCTAACCAGTGCTATAAAATGCCCTCCAGTGTCCTAAATTACATCCTAAATCGGAAGTGTGTACTCAGTGGCTCAGGGTTCCTGATGGTCTACATGGCAGCCCAAGTCCCCCAGATATAGGGATTTTCCTCTCTCTTCTATGAGTAGCCTGTATGTTCCAAGGGCACCAGGGATGGGTGTTTTTTAACTTTGCTCGCAGGCCAGTGCCAGGCCTGATGATAAGTGGGTATTGTCGGACCCTCTTATTCCTGCAGGCATTGCTGTGTGCATCGGGATGGCCAGCACCTTCGCCTACGCCAACTCCACACTCCGAGAACAGGTCTCTCTGAAGGTGAGTCACCCGATGTATTCGTCTCCTGTGGCTACTATAAAAAAATGACCACAAACTTAGTGGGTTGAAACAACACAAAATCACTGTCTTAGTGTTTGGTAAATCAGAAGTCCAAAATGGGTCTAAAATCAAGGGATCAATGAGATATTTCTTTCTAGAGGCTCCAGGGGAAGATCTGTGCCCTTGCCTTTTCCAGTCTCTAGAAGCCGCCCACATTCCTTGGCTCACGGCCCCTTCCTCCATCTTCCAACAGCATTGCTGTGTCTCTGACCGTTCACCAATGTCATCTCCCTGCCACTCCTTGTCCACATTTAAGGACTCTTGTGATTATACTGGGCCCACCTACATAATCCAGAGTCATCCCCTTCTTTTTAGGGTCAGGTGATGAGCAACCTTAACTCCATCTGCCACCTTCATGCCCTTTGCCTTGGAACTTAATGTAGTCACAGGTTCTTAGGCTTAGGATATGGTGCTCCTGGGCTTTCCCTCCACATCATGAATGTCCTCTAACATCTGCTGTTTAATCACTGTATCCAGCACAGAGCTGAGCCCATTGCACATCTCATTTTTCCAGTTCATCTCAACAATGCTGGAAGGGAAGCAAAATCATTACTTGTTTTCCAAATTAGAAACAGTGGCTTAGAGACACTGAGTTCCTTGCCTGAGGTCACACAGCCATTACAAGCGGTGGCCTCAGGATTTTAACTAGGTAGTTGATCCAAAGCCTGTACCCATCCTGGGTTCAAATCCCAGTTCCTCCATCCACTGTGAGCTTTTGAACAGATTACCTTGGTGACCTCCACCACCCTCGCCACCTCAGATACGGGAATTTTTCGTGCCACCTTCATAGACCGTTTGGGAGGGTTGGATGGGATCATGTGTGGAAGGTATTTAACACAGGGAACATTCACTTGCACTCCATTTTCTGAAACATGATTTCTACTGTGCATGTGATCCCGTAATAATTGTCATTACCTTTGACCTTTCTGTGGTACCCTCTGCTCTCTCAAAAGCACATAGGCCTCCATGGGGCACAGAGGCCACCTTAGTCTCCATTTCACCTTTGAGCACTGTGGGGCTCCAGAATTGGGAATGAAGGCAGAAGTTCTTCTTGACCCCGTAGTCTATCATGCTCTGCACGCGGACCCCTTCTGCTGCTGTTAAAGCAGCCATTGCTGCTGTTAGGTGCTATTCTGGTTTCTTAGTGCCACTCTGACAAGAATAGACCACAAATGGGATGGCCTTAACAAACAAGAGTTTATTCTTAAAATTTGGAGGCTTTAAGTCCAAATTCAAAGGCCAGGCTCTAGGGGCTGGGTGAAAGCCCCTCAACCTTGGGGTCCAGCTCTGCCTCCTGCTCTGGGCCCACTGGAGCTAGAGGCATTTCTTCACTCAGACAGCTGCTGACTACTGAGGCTGAGAAGCCCCAGGGTTGACAAGTAAAGAGGTACAGTCCCAATGTTACCAAACCACATGGCAGGCCATTAACTTAAGTCCATTGTAAATCCCAAGGTTGGCAGAACATAGGCTGCTGAGCAATGACATGGCTACATGCAGGGTCCAGGTGTGCCATAGGGTAGAGACCATTCTCAAAGCTTCTCCTTATACACAGGAAGCAGACCACATCCCTAAAGCAGCTACTCAGCTGCTTGTGGTAGATCCCACCATGGAGCTGATTGCCAGTCTCCTCATGGGGAATAACTACCACCAGCTGCCCAGCCACTCGACCAGGCCCAGCCAAGTTGACACACAAACATAACCACCACAGGTGCCATCACGTCAGTTTCTACTCACAGCAACCCTCTGTCCAGTGGAATGAGGCACTGCTCAGTCCTGTGCTGTCCTCACAGTCATTGCTATGTTGCAGCCACTGTGTCAGTCCATCACATTGAGGGTCTTCTCCTTGTTCGCTGACCCTCTACTTGGCCAAGCATGATGTCTTTCTCCAGGGTCTGCTCCCTCCTGATAACATGACCAAAGTATGAGAGATCAAATAAAACAGGTTGACTCAGAAACACAGTGGGAGACTTTGGGGGTTGGCTGTCTCCCAGAGCCAGTAAGATCCAAATGGGAACTTGATTTGAATTTTAGGGCCCAGGAGATACCTGGTTCTGTCCTTGGCTGGGCTTCCAGGGGTCTTGGCACCCTACGAAGCTACAGGTGGTGTTTTGCCTGAAAGTGCATAGTTCCTGTGAGAGAGGCTCCACGTGACCCTCCAAAACCTTGGGAATCTCAGCTTCCTGCTAGAGAGCTCCCCTCCTTTGTCCTTCAGAGTGTGACTTCTCAGAGCATTGCTCATTCCCCCTTTCTGCTCCACCTTTGGGCTGGATTTAGAGAATTAAACTGGAATCTATTATTTATTGGGGTAAAAAGGGCTGCTGAGTGGCTTAATCATATTGATAAGAGCAGTTGGTTGGTTGGAGGTGGTTTCTAGGGTCGTTAACCTTGACCGCTCCTGGAATAATGGGTAGATAGAGATGCATCATTTATTTTGACCAGTCTCTGGAAATGCATGTGTGTAACGGTGTGAGGGGCGCTGGGCTGTGTCTGGAGACAGTGTGTATCGAGCATTTACCGAAACCACCGGGAAGGTTACACTGGGAAAGTTATGACCTCATCTTATTCCAGCAATGCAGCCGCCCTGCTCCAGGAAAAGATGAGCTTTTGTGAATCAGCAGCAGAGGGTCTGTGTCTGTCTCCCAGGCTACACAGGCTCTTCTCAGCATCTCCTCTGGACGTTGGCAAGGATTTGCTTTCAGGCTGAGAAGCTACTGTGAAATAGCAAATTGAGAAGGTTTTCCACTTTGTCTTTCTGGTAGTAAACAAATGAAGATGGAGAAAGATATTGGGGGCTGGATTATGAAGGGTTTTAATGACCAGACCTAAGAGTTTGAATTTAATCCTGTAAATATGACCCTACAATGAACAACCAGCCCGGGGTGGTATCCCAGGAGTCCATTCATGGAAAAGTTACATCAGATGTTTCTGACAGGTAGATGGAATCTACTGCTCTGCCATCACGCCTTAACAATGAGACCTACCATTTGTTGTTGTTGTTATGTGCCATTGAGTATTTAGTGAGCCTGAAATACATACCTGTACCAGACTGAATGTTTTGTATTTGTAAATATTTATGCTGAACAACTCTCCGTTTTCTAATGTGGACACTGGGCCTTAAAATGTGCCCTTGAGAGGGGGAAAGGAGAGGAAGCTTTGGTTTGCAGGGCATTGAGTTGATACTGATGGTGGTGGAACATTTTGGAAAAGGCCAGCAATAATGGTGGCACAGCATGAAAAATGTCATCGGTGTCCCTGAGCTGTAAATGGGGAAGGTGCTATGTTGGTGAGTGTTTGTTGTGTAGTTATCACCACAATAAAAGTGAAAAATAAATAAGTACCCTTGAGCAAAAGTTACTGAACCTCTCTGTGCCTTAGTTCCCAGCAGTAAATGTATGTTAACAGGTCCTGTGTGCCGGCCACTGTTGCAAGCATTCTGTGTTCATTAATTCTCAAACTCTGCAGGGTAGATCCTACTACACCTGTTTTGAGGAGAGGGAAATGCAGAGAGTTTAAGTAGCTTGCCTGGGTTGCACAGCTCCCTGACAGCAGACCGAGGACTTCCCCCTGGGCACTTCCACTCTGGAGTCTGCTGCTAACCACAGTGCTTTCCTGCCTTTTCAGATAGTGCTCCAAGCGGGTTCCTATCATTCTGTCACCTTCTCTGTATGCACCCTTTGGTTCAATTGAAATGGAAAGATGCTAGTGTCTACCCTCCAGCATCAGCTCTGCCTTCTTTAAACCCTCAAGAAAGAGAAAAGTTGTCGCTCATCACGAAACATTCTGGAATGTTCTACCATGAGTGGCTCACAGCATCCCCACAGGTCTCTTGCTTTGTCTCTAGGAGAAAAGGTCGGTGCTGGTCATCTTGTGGATCTTGGCCTTTCTAGCGGGGAACACGCTGTATGTCCTCTACACGTTCAGCTCCCAGCAGCTATACAACAGGTCAGCAGGCGAGTTTGACTCTCACGGTGCATGTGAGGGGGAGGGGCTTGGCGGGCCTGGGGCACCCCATCCCTTCACCTGAGAATGCTGCCACAGCTCTGTCCCACATTGTGACATTCAAATTCCATCCTGTTACATACACACATGTACCTGGAGCACCACTCTCCAGTAGAAATACAACACAAGCTACATATGTAATTTCACATTTGCTAGTAGCTATGTAAAAAAAATTAAAAAGGAAATAGGTGGAATTCATTTTAATGATAGATTTTATTTAAATAAACCTATCCAAAATATTATCATTTCAATAAGCAATCAATAGTTAACAAGATGTACATGCAGACTACTTAACCCAAGATGAGGCACCCACATACTCTATTGGTAATGCATCCCTTGGAGCAATCGACTATGGGGCACCAGAGGGGCAACATTCCATGGAGGAAATGCAGGACACACAGGAGTGCATAACTCCAAGGGGCACCGGAGGAGGGTTACTGGGCAGGGAGGGGAGGAGACTGGGTTAGGATTGGGCATGGTAAATAGGGAGTGAAACGAAATGTACACATAACGTATGTAAAACAAACTCTTAAAATAAAAAAATTAAGTAAAATGATTCTATAAAATCCAAAATATATATATATGAACTATTGGGATACCTTACTTTTTTTTAACGTTACGTCTTTGCAATCTGTTGTTTTACACTTACAGTACATGTCATTTCAGACTAGCCACATTTCAGTGCTCAATATGGCTGATAACCTCCACATTGGGCAGCACAGGCCTAGAACATTTCTGGAAGGACACACAGAAAACTGGAAACAGTAGTTGCCCAGGGACTGGAACTGTAGATCAGAAACTTACTTTTCACTGTGCAGCCTTTTGTCTCTTCAGTCTTTTTTTCTATCTTATAAATGTAATAAACTAAACCAACCCAAACTCACTGCCATCAAGTCGATTCTGACTCATAGCGACCCCCTTTGGGTTTCCGAGGTGGTAAATCTTTACGGAAGTAGATTACCCAGTCTTCCTTCCACAGAGTGGCTGGTAGGTTTGAACTGCCAACTTTCTGGTCAACAGTCAAATGCCTTAGGCACTGTGCCACCAGAGCTCCTTCCAAATTCAGCTACCCCACATCCTAAGGACTCTGTGCAGAGGGGTCCTAGGAGAGTGAGGGGGAGTCACAGATCCATATCAGAGGCAGCAGTGGTTCCCAAGGCACAACTGAAGATTGTGTTCTTTGTATCAGTAGTTACACAGCCAGACACCATGCGGAAGTAGTCTTCCCTTTCCCATGTTACAATAATGTGGTAAGTTTTTTCCATAGCAGATAATTATTAAAACCGAAAAAAACCAAACTCACTGCCGTCAAGTTAGATCCGACTCATAGCGACTCCTCCTTGGGTTTCCAAGGCAGTATCACTATGGAAGTAGATTCCCCAACCTTCCTTCAAGGAGTGGCTGGTGGGTTTGAACTGCCAGCCTTCTGGTTAGCAGTCAGATGCGTTGGGCACTATGCCACCAGAGCTCCCTGATAATTATTATCAGAGGTGAATGCAAATAAATGAACTAGTACAATGCTTATGGAGCCCGGAGCCCCAGTGGCGCAACACTTAAGTGCTCAGCTGCTAACCAGAAGGTTGGCGATTCAGAACCACCTAACGGCTCCATGGGAGAAAGACCAGGAAATCTCTTTCCATAAAGGTTAGAGCCTGGAAAATTCTATGGGGCAGTTCCCCTCTGCCACATGGAGTTGCTATGAGTCAGAATGGACTCGGCAGTGCTCAGCAACAATAATAATGCCAACCTTGCCAGAGCTGCCTAAACCAGTGAAACTGAACCCACTGCCATCAAGTTGATTCTGACTCTTAGCACTCCACGTTGAGTTTTCAAGGCTATAAATCTGTATGGAAGTAGACTGCCTCATCTTCTTCCAGCAGGGCATCTGGTGGGTTTGAACCGCTGACCTTCCGGTTAGCAGCCAAACACCTTACCCATTACACCACTAGAGCTCCATGTTGTTGTTGTTGTTATGTGTCGTCAAGTCGGCTCCAACTCATAGCGACCCCTCCTTGGGTTTCTGAGGCAATATCACTACAGAAGTAGATTGCCCAACCTTCCTTCCGAGGAGTGGCTGGTGGGTTTGAACCACCAGCCTTCTGGTTAGCAATCAAGTGCCTTAGGCAC